TCTGGCTCAAAAAAAGGATTGCAGAAATATGTATACACCCATGTTGCATAGTGTATTATTGGCAATATTACTATATACTGTAGCATATTATATATTTACATCTAATAATAATAGCTATCACATTTGTTATATAATATATCGTAATACATATTGTAATATCTACTACAGTATTATAAAATGACTCACAAGAAGCAAAAGGTGGAAGCAACCCAGTGTCCACTGACAGATGAATGAATGGACAAACAAAACGTGGTATACACCTATAATGGGATATTACTCAACCTTCAAAAGGAAGGTAATTCTGAAACATGCTACGACATAGATGAACTCTAAGGACATATGTCACAAAAAGACAAATCCCGTATGACTCCACGTATATGAGGTACCTAGAGTAGTCAGATTCATAGAGACACAAGGAATGGTGATTGCCAGGTGCTGGGGACAACAGGGGATGGGGAGCTATTGTTTAATGGGTATAATGTTTCAGTTTTGCACGATGAAAAGAGTTCTGGAGACAGATGGTGATGACGGTTGTCTAATGCTGTGAATGTACTTAATACCACCGAAATGCGCACTTAAAAATGGATAAGCTGTTGCACTACCTCCCATCTAGCTCCCATATATAACTATCTAGAATTTAAGTAAAATTTTTTAAAAAATGGATAAGCTGGTAAATTTTGTTATGTATGTTTTGTCGTAATTACTAATAATTTTTTTTTAAGAAAGAGTAGAGCCTAGGGGTGCCTGGGTGGCTCAGTTAGTTAAGCGTCTGCCTTTGGCTCAGGTCATGATCTCAGGGTTCTGGGATCGAGCCCTGCATCGGGCTCCCTGCTCAGCGGGAGGCCTGCTTCTCCCTCTCCGCTCGTGCTCTCTCTCTCAAACAAATAAATAAAATCTTTAAAAAAAGTAAAGCCCACACAGATTTCATGTTTAATGGCCACAGTGTCGATTCACTGCCGTCCACTTGGATGAACAGAATTTCTCTTAGCGGCGAGAGTAACTTCACACCTGTTCAATCACCGCATATGCTTTAGATTTCTCTGTCCTCCTTTTCATTATCTCCTAGCCAAACCTTACCAACGAGACCAAAACATTTACAGTAGCTCCATTAGCTGCTAGTGTCCTGAAGGCCAAGATCAAAGACACAATGTTCAAAGCCACAAAACAGCTGGGACATTCGGCCGCAAGCCAGAGGATGCCTACAGCCGGCCCTAGCCGCCACCGTTCCCGTGGGTTCTCCAAGGCACAGAGATGTAGAACTCAGCCCTAAGAGTCGCACTGATCCCACACCAGTGAGGCAGCCTGAAAACAAGAAACTGCTGAGCTCTGCTTTCCACCCCCTGATGCAGGTGCATCTCCCCGTCCCATTCAACGGACCAACAAGTGCCTTGGTGAAGGCGGACGCTGATCTGCAAGGAAAATCAGCATCAACATCCAATGGCCTCAGTGCATCGTGTGAGGATTTTGTTTTCTGTCTCCAAGGCAAGCCTACTTTGCACGGTATGGATTTTTGTTCAGAACCAGTATCTCCTTTTCTACACCCTCCGCCCCTGGCTCTCCCTGCTTCCCAGCAACTGTTTCTCCTGGAAAAACGCTCCCCAGCCTTCAGGGACTAGCCCTGCCCTTGTCTTGCCTGCATGGTGACCCTGTTGCTGTCCTCGAACCTCCACTTCCCCTTCTTCCATCGTGGGCTTTCTCCTTCTGGCACTACGGACGCTTTTGGCTAGAACATTCTTCGGGGTGGGGACTGTCCCGTACACTGCAAGTACTTAGCAGCATCCCTGATCTCCACCCACCAAACCCACAACGTTTCCCAGCACTGCCAAATGTCCTGAGAGCAAGACTGTCCCTGACTCAGAACCACTGATCTGTAGGACAAAAGCTGCAGGGAGGCCCATGGCCGCCCCGCTGAAAATCAGATTTCCCAGTCCAGTCCCAGCCAACGACTGACAGAGGCTGTCTCCCAGTCTGAAGGAGGAAGGACCCTGCAGTGCCATCTGGTGATCCACAGTCCCCCTCCCCACCACCGATTAGGCTGACGCTAGGACCACGCCCTTCCTGGGCTGTCATCCTTCGCCTAGACTGCTTCCCTCCCTCCCCTGCAGGGCATTCTCCTACGTCCTGCTATGGGTTCAATGATATCCCCCAAAAGACAGGTTATCATCCTCACTCCCATCACTTCAGAATGTGACCTTACTTGGGAATAGGGCTGTTGCAGATGTAATTATTTAAAACGGGAACATAATGGAGTAAGGTGGGCCCCCTCATCCAATAGGACTGGTGTCCTTAAGAAAAGACAGAGATGCACACAGAGAAGGTCATGTGACGACAGAGGCAGAGATTGGAGTGATGCAGCTATAAGCCGAGGGGGGGCGCCAAGGACGGCCGGCAACCACTAGAAGCCAGAAAGCGGCAAGGAAGGATTCTCTCCTATAGGTTTCAGAGGGAGCATGGCCTTGATCTTGGACTTCCAGCATCCAGACTGGGAGACAATCAATTCCTGTAGCTTTAAGCCTCCAATTTGTGATGTTCTATCACAGCAGCCCTACAAACTAATCCACACCCAAATCCTTATCTCAAGCTCTCCTTCCAGGGAACCCAAACCTCCAACAACCGGCCTTTCTTCTCAGACTGTAAATTCCAGAGCCAGCCTGAGACGGGAAATGGGAGTCTGCTCTTCCCTGGGCCAGTTTCCATGAGCCTTTCTTTGAGCGAGAAGGGAGAAGGAAGAAGGAGGGAAGGAGGGAGGGTGGCCGGTGGGAGAAAGAAATTCACTTCGGGGAATCCTTCCCTCCCTCCATCCTTTATTCATTCAACAAATATTACTGAGCACTAAGTACCACATGGCAGGCACTGTTCTAGGTGCAGGACATGGAGAAGCGTTTGCATACTAGCAGGGGAGATAGAACATAGAATGTAGGTCTGTGGGATGATGGGAAGGGCCACAGAGAAAAGAAAAAGCAGGGGAAGGGGCCAGGGAGTGCCTGGGGTGGCGGCCACTATGTCAGCAGAGGGGTGCGGCAGATACCGCCTCTGGTGCCAGCTACAGACGGTCCCCAAGTCCTGCTTGGGCAAGGTATCCGTTCAGGCAGACAGCCGCTTCCTGTCCCAGCCCTCCCGTGAGGCCGTGGGAGCCCACCTGACCCACGGGCAATGGGCCACAATGGCCCGAAGAGCCACCATTGACTTGCCCTCCTTCCCTGGGTTCTCCTCACCCCTCACTCCTGCTTCCTGGGATCACCTCCTAAATAAACACCCTGCACCCAGGACCTTGCCTTGGCCTCAGATTTTGGGAGAATCAAACTAGGGCAGACGGGCCGGGAAATCTTTGCTGAGATTGTAACATTTCAGCCAAGACCTGACATGGCAGCCAAGGCAAGGTGTGTGTATGTCCAGATTCTCTGGGTGTCCAGGGTCCTCCACACTGATGTACACAATCAAGCTGGCCATACAGAGTTGATTTTGTCCAGTGGGTCTCCCTCTTTCAACTGTGTAAGTTTCTTGATGGTTGAGAACCCAGTGATATCAAACATCGAGGAGGCTACATGGAAAGCATCCAATATGTCCTGATCATGTGACGGGAAGAAGGATATGAGATTATAGCAAACACTGCTAACACCTGGACCACCACCTCCTGGTCCTGATGACTTCGGTGCACACGGGCCCCCATGGGGCGGCCAGCTCTTGTGCTTTTTTTTGCATTTGTGGATGTCGAAGTTCTCTATCCGTCAGTGTAACGGGTCAGAAATGCCAGGGGAGGAGCGTCTCCATCCCCCACAGCCCTCCTTCAATGGCCGATAGGAGCTGGTGTATGAACACCGCAGCTCCCCTGCCCCTCTGGTGGAAAGACTCGTAGGCATGTGTCTAACGCTGGCTTCCCATTTCCCCAGCAGGTTTCGGCGCCGGTCACCCACAGTGGTGGCCAGCCAGGTAATGCATACTTTATGTGAATTTCCCACTCTCTCCTGGTGTGTCCTCTGGTGTCACCTCCCTAATAAATGACTTCCCTGGCCTTGGGATTTTCTTCTTCTTGGGGGATCCAAATGAAGGATAAATCTATCTTTGATTAGAAACACACACACACACAGAAATACACACACACAGAAGAGCAACCCCTCCAGTCCCCATGTTTAAAACCTGTACTCAGGTGTGCTACTGAATCATCAAATCCCTGACCCGTAGAGCTCAGCTTTGAAAAGCACCTTGGTGTGTCAGACGTAAAATAATCCTGCCTGCGTTACACCAGATTGTCACCCTCAGCGTGAATGGACTAGACTGGCCTCCCACTGGCTGGGTCTTTTCCTGCCCTTGGGCTCCCACCTCCTCCTTCCACCCACACTGCATGCACTGTCATCCTCCAGTCCACAGAATGCCCAAGGGAGGGATGCTCTCAGCCCACTGGGGACAGAGCCGGGTCCGTGGGTGGCTTCCCAAGCAGCCAATTGCCTGTCTGTGGGCTGGTAGGGGGAAAGAAGCCAATCTCACAATTTGCCTGAAAAACATCCATGTATCATCCTGTTCTTCAGCCCTCATTTTATTTTTCCCAAATCAATTTCTGAAAGTCAAAATGACTGACAGCTTCATACCCTGGACAATCATTCTCCTTATTTAATAACCTGGCCTTGATGACAAAAAGCTCCCAGGGTGGTGGTGGTTACATGAATCTCTACATGCAGTAAAATTTCATAGAACTCCATAAACACACACACACAGTGGTGCATGTAAAACTCCGTGAAAATTCAATAAGGTCCGAAGCTCCGTTGCCAACGTCACTTTGCTGGCATTGCTAAGGCACTCGGGTTGTGTGAGATTTATCACTGGGGCTGCTGGGTGACGAGACAAGAACTCTGTATGGCGTTTGCAACTGCTTGCAAGTCAAAACTTGTTTCAAAATAAAAAGTTTTTAACATGCAAAGACGATTTAAATAATGAAATGAAAATCACCTTTTTTTTTTTTTTTTTAAGCTCCCAGCAGGAGACAGCACCAACCCACCCCTTACCTGAGAACTGGGGACCAGCGCCTTCCACCAGTGCCCGCCTTTCACCAGGTCAACCTCGCACAAAGGGACGGACACCTTCCCGATGACACAGTGGCGGGAGAACTTATCAAAATCCACCACGGTCAGCAGCAGGGTCCTCCTCTGTGCTTCCAGGAAGGGGATCTCAAAGGTGTAACGCTCCTCAAACACGGGTTTCTGGGTCTTGCGTTTGACCCCCGTCTGCTTCGAGTTCTTCTGGTCCGGCAGGAGACAGATCTTGACGTAGGGGTTTGAGTGCGCCATGTCCTGGCGTGAGCCGTCGTGGGAGATGGGGGGCGGCAGGTCCCTGGCCTCGATCACCCTCACGGTCAGGTGGTTGTGTAGCAGGTCGTACTGGGTGCTGAAGTGCAGCATGCCCAGCTGGTACTTGGACAAGATCTCCTCATCGGTCAGGAAGTCCACATCGTCGCTGTTGGAGTCTAGGGAGTACAGCTGGGGCTCGAACTTTCTGAAATAGTCGTCTGGGGTGTAAGTCCGTCTGAGCACCGAGGGCTGGATGGGCTCCTTTTTGGCGCTGAGAATGCCAAACTCGATGGGTTTAATATCAATGAGCGGGGAGCTGGGTCGTCTGGATTCAAGACCTAAACAGCCGCCAGAAATAACAATTAACATTGCCACGTGTGGGACCAAACCTGGGCCGCTTCATGAAACTGGCAACATTTCCTAGATTCTCACGTTGTTCACTGTTTCCCAAATCTCTTTGCCATCTGCTCTCCACACCTTGAGATCCTCTTATTTATTCTCTGAGAGACAACATGGCGGCATGACCATCCCCATCACAACCAGGCACTGTTCTCAACAAACTGACATATCAAGTCATCGGATCTCCACAAGGTATTAGATAATGGCGATCCCTACTTGACAGATGAGGAAACAGAAACTCGAAATAGCTCTCCAGAAGTGACACAGGTAGTAAGAGGAAGAACCGGGAGTCAAGCCCAGCCTGTCTGGCCCCAGAGTCTTGAGGCTAACCGTGACCCTATACGGCCTCCCCTTCCGGAGAGTGGACTGTGGAGCCAGAGTTCCTGGGACTCAGTTTCCCCATAAAATGGAGTCAATCACAGCGCCTGCTTCAAAGATTATGGTGATTCAAGGAGCCAATGCATGGAACGGGCTCGGCACAGAATGTGCACATGGTAACAGCTCGCTACATGGTAACTACTGTACTTCTTCAAGGATCATATTTGGACTTCCCCACTTGTGGGGTGCCTCTCCCCTCCCCATCAACCAGCAGAGTTTATGGCTCCCAAGTCCATCATTCGAATCTTTGCTCATCCCTTGATTCTAGCAATGAGCTCATGGAATTTTATTTTAAAAAACTATTTAACTGAAGCATTACTGACATACAAAAAAAGCTGTGCATATACGAGCTTGGAGGTAAGTACGCAGCCATGAAACCATCACCACACTCTGTGCTATACACATACCCATCACCTCCCAAAGTGTTCTCCTGCCTTCTTTATTTACTTAATTTTTCTGGTGATAAGGACCTTTAACACAGGATCAAGTCTCTTAGTAAAATTTTAAGTATACAATATTGTTAACTATAAGCACTGTAGAGCTCTAGAACTTCTTTATCTTGCATAACGGAAAGCAACACCTCCCCAGCTCCCCGTCCCTGCAGTCCCTAGTAACCACACTTTTCTCTCTGCTCCTAGGAGTCTGACTATCAGATTCCTCATATAAAGCAGGGTTATGTAGCATTCGTTCTTTCACGACCTTCTTGTTAAGTGCCCCAGCACCTGTCTTGTCCGCTAAAATCATGAGACTTTGGTCTGGTGCATGGCTGGTACTCTGATAACTATGTGCTAAATGATAATCATCTGCGTACAGGGCTGGGCAGGAGACCTAGGAATCATCTAGACGGGTGCCATTCAAGAGAAATACAGTGGGGTTCAGAAATACAAACCACATGGGTAACATAAAGTCTTCCAATTCTTTAAGAGTGCAAAGAAACGGGTGAAATTAATATTTTCAACATATAATCAAAATGAAAACGTCTCAGTGAGACAGTGTAAATTCTCTTTTATTTCCTGGCTTCAAAATCGTGGGCACGTAACACATACAGCATGTCTCCACTGGGCTCAGCCCCATTTAAATGCTCACCAGCGCTGCGTGGCTGGTGGCTGCCGCACTGGACAGCGCAGGTCGGGAACAGGCCTCTTGCTTTACAGATGGAAAGACTGACGCCTAGAGAGGCCTCACATCCCCTCTGTTTCACTCTTTCGAGCCCTTGAACTTTTCTCTACTTCCTGCCCCGCCCCCCGTTTACCCCCAAGAAAGATCAGACACCAATATTTCCACCTGAGTGGATTTACTTCATGAATTTTAAGCTTTTCCCCGCCCTCTGTTAAGTGAATTGCAGACAGCTGAATGGGACAGCAGAGATCCTTTCGGGGAGTGAAAGGAGGCTGGGGGTCTTTGGGCTTTATCCTCCTTTTCCCTCCCCACCCAAACCATGCCATCTGGTCAAAGACAGATGCTGTACATCCGAGTGGACCAACTGGGGGGCCTGTGGACCCTATTTGACCTAGAGATACATCTTGTCTGGGTTTAAAGCTAAAGAAGTTTCATATAAAACCCCAGATCGCCAGTTTCTCTTTAGAAAGGGCAGGCAATACGGAGCCCACAATCTCGCACGCCCCCCACCCCGGCCTTTCAGTGGGGCACTGGCTTCCCAAATGGCCACAGTCCCCACCCCGCCCCGGTAACTGAGGCTGAGTCAGCTGCCACTTGTCACTGCATTAGAACGAATCTCATCTCTATCCAACCCTCTCCAACTCATTCACGGACACAACCCACCTGGCCCCTGAAGTTACTTGAATTTGCAAGCGCTGCCATACAACACGGGAACACCCACCTTTTGGGGTCTGAAATGATAATATGCTGACCACGTCAATCAACTGAGCCAATTCAATGAAATTTGTGATCAGGAAAAAGAAAAATCGATCAAGTAACTGCTTCCGGCTGAACTCAGCAGAAATCAGGTGCAATGCACTCTGGTCACACGGTTATCATCTCTCCATCATCCTGTCTCCTGCCCGGACTGTCATCCCACTCTGCCCCCTCCCCAGAAGACAAGCCCTTCCCTCACATCTTTCCTTGGGGATGCTGCCGAGTGTCTGGGAAAGCCAGCTCTCTTCTTTTGTCCTGGGGACCTGGCTAATGGGACTTTAATTTGTGAATGGAGGTGGAATGGCACAGGATTTCGTGAGGATCCCTAGGCAGTCACAGCAAAGATGCTTACTTGAAATCCTTCGGGTCAGGCTGTACGTAGACTTTGACGTGTCTGAGGATGAGCATCTGCGATCTGGGGAGTTGGTCCGTGGGGTCAGAGGGACTTCACTAGCTGTGTGGACAGAATCCCCGTCCTTGTCACTGCTCCGGCCGGCCATCCTATAGGAAAGGAAGAGGTCTCAATGGTTGTCAAAAAATCCCCAGGGACTGGCATCCCCGCCCCTGGGAAGACAGACCCACGACGAAACAGCTCTCAGATCCAGTTTATACAACTTGCAGTAATACAAACTTGAATCAGTGAGGCAGCCCTAGACTCTCAATAATGCCTTCCTTTTTGCACAAAATGAGAAATGAAATAAGGACTTTCTGATTTAGAACAATCTGTCAAGGACAGTGGGGAGGGATATGTACTTATTCAGGTTATTGCCACATGGAGGCGCCACGCTAAGTCAAGCCCAGACCTGTCAATCAGTCTGGAAGGAACCACAGGGTTGTCTATACCCATCTGAACTTCTGCAAGTGGCTTTTGGTGGGAAACTGGCTGCTATTTCAACCCTCACTGTGTCTATACTTTAGCATCTTCTAAAAGTATCCTATAACAGTGTCAACTCGAGAGTTCTGAGCGCCAGGGCTAAAGCTACAAAATGGCCCTGAGAATCAATGACTTAAGAGCAATAGTTCGGTGTGAAGGAACAGCTAAAAATGAGCAGCCGCCATGATTCAATGTGCTCCCAATGAGGATGAAAAATACTAAAAGAAGAAAAAGCACTGGGTCGGGGGTGGGGAGATACAGGGTAGCAATTAAGAGCACAACCTCTTGGTCTGAACCCTGGCTGGGTGACCTTGGGCAAGGCCCTTCCTCTCTCTGTGCCTCCATCTACCCATCTGCAAAATGGGAATAATAATAGTACCCACCTTAGATGGTTGCTCTCCACACTGAATGAGTTAGCACATATAAAATGCTTAGAACAGTTCTTGGTACATAGTAGGTGTGTGCTCAATACATTTTAGCTGGCATGATAACAATCTTTAAGATCCCCCAATCCCCAAAAAGCTAGGTAAGGATGCTTGGGGGGGGGGGGGGGGGAGAGGTGGGGAAAAAAGCTGGTGGAGTGGCCGGGAGATGGATGCTGCTATTGACTCAGCCCTAAGCGATTGTGGCTGTAGATGGATACCTTCTGAGACTACATCCCCCACCCCAACCCCCTACCCAGCTTGACATTTAAGCCTGTGCATAAGCTAGTCTTGAAAAATGCAAGTTTCCAATTCTAGGAGGTCCTTAGATGCATCCTGTGCATGAAATGAGGGTCACAGCCAGGACAAGACCGGGCATGTTATGGGGGGTAAGGGGGGTAAGGGGGAATGCCCAGTCCCTGCTTGCCTCCCACTCCTGGTCTGTAAAAGGTGCATGCAGCAGATGAAATGGGGGGAGGGGGAGTAGGGGAAGGCACAGAAATGCAGCCATACTGTATCATTCATTCTTCTCTCTCCCTTAAATGAAAGCTGCAGCATCTTCCAAAGAAGGTGGAACCACCTCGGGCACCCCCACCTGCATGCCTGTTTCCTGGGGGGCCACAGCCATACGTCACTGCAGCAGCCACCTCCAACCTATTAAGTCCCATCCAGTCTTCGGGGCTCAGCTTAAGTGCTGTCACCCCTGAAGCCTCGCTTGAGTCCTCTCGGACAATGTCTGAGCCACCCCTAACTCCTCTGCACCCACCGGGCTTCCCAGCCCTTCCTCCAACACACTGAGCTGAGCCATGCTGTTCCCTCTGCCTGGAATGCTCTTCCTGTCTCCATCTCCTGTCTGGTTCCTTCTCATCAGTCAGGTCTCAGTCTCAACAGCGCCTCCTCAGAGATGCCCCACCCTGTCCCTATCACCTCCTCCTACCCCATCAGCCCTTCTTTCCCTCTTCCAACAATGCACATAACTCATCTTTAGTTGTGGCTTATCTTCTGCGTCTGACACTAAGTCCTTGCTCAGTGTCTCTTGTTCACCACTGCCGACCTTGCCCTAGCATGGCATGTGGCACGTGTGGAGTCTTCGTTTATTTTCTCAGTAAACGAATGAATGAATTCACCCTTCTTGTCATTCTTATCTGATTTCATCTTGTCTCAAAATGATCTGAGTGCATATCTTGCCTCCCACCCCCCAGCAGGGTACGCTCCTTAATGGGGCGATCTATACTTATCTTGATCGAAGATACCAGGCGCTAAGCACCAACTGTGTGCCAGGCACTGTGCTCAATGCTCTGTCTGAACCATCTCATTAATCCTTAAAACAATCCAGAGTGTACTTGTTATTAACAAGCCTCACCCCCTTTACAGATGGGGGGGCAGGGCGTGGAAGGGAAGCCTGATGGGATGGATAATTATTCTGCACCACTGTTCAACTCCCAGTGAAGTCCAGCAATACCAGACTCCGAACGGCATGCCCTAAACTACTGAGCTGGGTATCCCTTATGAGGCCTGTTGGAGCTGTGTATACAGTAGGTCCTCGATACACGCTTGATGGACAAAGAAATGACCTGACTTTAGTCTTTCTGGCATCGCTCTAAAAGCAGCCAGTCGGACTCTATACAGTTTTCCTGACCTTCACCAGTCCAGCCCAGCCAAGGAAAGCTGGGGGACCCAAATGACAGGAGCATATCTGACAATTAATGGTGTATCCCCTAAAATCCCCCACACAAAGGACTAGCTCATCTGCCACAGGCCGTCCCACAGAGAGGCATGTCCTGTGGTTCTTAGCTCAAATGTCACAGTAGGAACAGCACTGCAATGCCTGTACACTTGACATTTCTACTCCCTGTCTGTTTGATAACATGCAACTGCCCACTTGGTAAATAAATCTGGGGAAAGCGCAAGCTGTAAATTCACTTTTTGAATGATTTAACCCACCTCCCCTTTACAGACTTCTCTTAACATTTTGCATTATGTTGAGTGCCAAAAATGTACTAAGTTGCTACCCAGGATTCAAGATATTCATCCTGAGAAGCACAGAAAGTCATGTACCGTTGTTCAGGCTTTCGACTGCAAAGCTCTAGGTGGTATCATTCATAACAACCGCCAGGTGAATGGGGCCTTCCAGTGTTGTGTGGTGTGTTGGCCGTGCTGGGAAGGTTCCAGCCCTCTTCTCTGCTTGTGGCAAAACCAAAGTAAGTGTCTTCCCAGAAGGTCCCCACCCCTGGCCCCCAGAAAGAGTCCCCCCCACTTGCACAATGGGTCAGCAGCCAGGGTAAAGTGCAACTGTCCTCCAGCTCAGTGCTAGAACCTAGGCCATGCACCCGTGATACTCAACAACTGGGTATCTGGGGCAAACAGGTACCTGACTAGGATTTTCAGGGTCCATCACGATTCTCCACTGGTTCAGAGGCCAATTCAAATTCCTTGATCTGGCATTCAAGACCCTACAAGACCTGAGCTTGCAGGCTCATTTTCCATGATTCCCCCCACTCTTCCTAGGTACTGTGGAGTTTGCCCAACCTAGGTCCATTCCCTCCTCTCTGGTTACAGCACGCAAACTTTCTATTACAAAGATTGGCAAACTACGGGGCCCAATCTCCTGCCTGATCTTGTACATGAAGTAAGACTGGAACACAGCCACGCCCACTCAGTAATGTCCCACCTATGGCTGCTTTCACACTGTCTAGGAGTGGTTGTGACAGACTAAGCCCTTTCTAGGAAAAGTTTGCCCACCCCTAGTCTGTTAGCTCGGTTCATGTGTGTCAGGTGGGAATGACCCTTTCCCTGGTTCCAGGATGGTCAGACAATCCAGGCATGATCCTAGCAACATTTCCTCCAAGCAAAAGTGACTGGCTCAAGTGACTGGCACATGACCCAAATCAGAGCAATGAGAGCCCATCCTGGTTTGTTTGCTGCTATTGAGGCAAAGAAGAAAGCAGCTTAAGAATGAGGTCGATAAAGGGGTGCCTGGGTGGCTCAGTTGGTTAAGCGTCCAACTCTTGATTTCAGCTCAGGTCATGATCTCAGGGTTGTGAGACTGAGCATTGCATCGGGCTCCAAGCTGGGCATGGAGCCCGCTTAAGATTCTTTCTCCCTCTCCCTCTGCCCCTCCCTGCCCCCCCAAAAAGAATGAGGCCAATATAGAAGAAACAGAGACAGAGGGAAGGGGAGAAGGCACAAATGCATGCCCATGACAACATCTGACCCCTGGATCCAGCTATACCTGAAACCACTGTCCCTGGATATTTTTTTCCATAATGAGACTCTAGGCAGAACTGTCATATGGGTGTGCAGGGTGTGAATGCACAACTCTCGGGGGCAGCTGGGCTTATGTACCTGCCTTATCTCCTGTACTAGATTTAAAATCTCCTGAGCACAGTAATCGGACTCTATGTAGTCTCTGCATCCCACAGTGCCTGGCACATGAAGCATACTCGAGAAATAGTTACCAAAGAAACTGAGATTGTTTTCAACCAGATGACTGGCACTTTCAGGATTCAATTTCTGCCTGTAAGTTTGTCAGTTGGTCAATAACAATTTTTTGGAGTGAACAACACAGATAAAAACCCCACCCTCGCAGAGCTGGCACTCTTCTGAGCATGGCTTTCAAGACACCAGATGGGCTGAGCCAACCTCTGCCACACAGGGCACTGGACAGTGGGAATGATCTCTCGATCATTCACCAAATATCTCAACTCTACGCATACCTTCAGGACTCAGACTACAACCCGTGACTAATGAAAACATTTCTTAACACTGTCTTTACACCAGTTTAAAGAATCTCCATCAACACCTACAAATTCAGAAATGAATACTTACTACTCTGTGAAGCATGTTATGTGCACATCTCATTACTCGGAACCACAACCCTATAAAGGAAGTTCTATTACTGTCCTCACTTTACAGATGAGGAAACAGAGACCAAATAGGGTAAGATGAATCACTTACGTTTATGATTGCCAACCAGGGGTCAAGCATTTGTAGGGGTTTTCTGTGTACTAATTCTGGCAGTCACCACAACAACCATATAAGATAAACCCTATTATTTTTATCATCCCCATTTTACAGATGGGAAATCAAGGCACAGAGCTCTAACTACTTGCCCAAGGTCACAGAACTAGAAAAAAGTAGGAGACACAGGATCTGAAGGCACAGGGCCTGACATAGAGCCATTGTGCTATGGAAATATTCGATGCTTGCTTCTAAGAAGAGCAAATGAGAGGACTGAGACATGACCCCCAACTTGGAGGGAAAGAGGGGATGTCATGGACTTCCAGAATCTCAGCTCAAAGATTTAGCTGGAACAGCACTGGGTTCCCCCTGAGGCTCTGGCTGTGGGCCCTTGCATTGCCTCCCGCCCTCTCAGGGCCTCCCGCTCTGCGCAGGAGAGCTGGACTCACTGGTGGCCAGGCCCTTCTAGGGTCTAGACTCAACCCAGGCTCTCTGGCCACGCTCCTCTCTTAGCCACTGAGAGGTGGACCAGACACATGGCTGAGAAGCTTCAAAACTGTGTTCCCAAAATATCTGAGCGACTGGCAGATGGAGATGTTGTATGCAGGCGCGGGAGGAGCACGAATTGGAAATAAAATGAAAGATGCCAGAGAGAACATAAACAGCGTTGGAGGACAGGATGGAGCCTGGAGGTGCTTTTCTGCTTCCCTGGGTCTGAAGTCCTTGTTCAGACCGGCAAAAAGGCACCTGTTTGTCCATGCGGTCTACCAACCATCCAGCAGTTTTCACTGAGCATCGACTCTGTGCCAGGCACTGGGTCGGGTGCTGGGACTGTGGGTCATACTGACTTGGATGGCCATCCTTAGAATTTCGACATCCCTTGAAGAATGCAGATGCTCACAGATCTCTTCTTCCACTTGGAACGACACTCGACATGATTAAAAGCGCGCACAGGCTTAACACTGCACCCTCCGAGTCTCAGACGAACCGAGGGGGACCTAGCTAAGCTAGAGCCCGGCCAACAGCTTGCCAAACAAAATGAGAGGCACAGAGCAGGTCCCCGTCGGCAGCAAAGAGGTCCACGGACACTCAGCGTCTCCCCCTTTCATACCCCGAGCCCTCCTGCCCGCACCCCCTCGCACAAACTGAGCCAAGAAAACGTCTTGAGATCGCTTTCAAGGAAGTTCGGAGCAGTTTTACTTACAGCCAGGGAGGAGTCTGGGCAGGGAAAGGTCCCAGAATTTCAACTTCATCCTCACTCGACTGGCAACAGCTGGACTCATAGCACTTCTCACAGCAGTGCCTGCAAGTCCATCTGCACAGTAGCAGATCGGAGATTCTAGAAAGAAAACCCTGAGGCCATCGGGGGAGGTGGGCAGTGGAGAGGGGGAGTGGGGGGGAGGGGAGGTGGGAGGGGAGGAGAGGAGGAAAAGGAAAAACACCCGAAAATTACAAGCAGCCGATCCCCGCTGAGAAATAAGGACATTCAGGAGGTCTGTCCCTGCTGCTGAACACTTAGAACAAAATGTTTTCCGTTTCTATTTACCAACTGCAGGCACAGAGATGGCAAACACCAACTTGCTGGAGCCGTTAATAGTGAGCAAAACATTTGCAGGTATTTTCTCTGGTAGTTTATGTGAGTGTCTTTCTTGACAGGTGGGTGGTTTATACAACACCGTGAGGGCTATACAATATGTTCTCAAAACACAATGAATATTACTCTGTCTTCTTGAAAGCAAAGCAAAAAAAGATTTTTTAAAAAAATCATCTCAGTGACACGAAAGTAAACAGAGGTAACCAAACGGAATAAGGACGGTGGTGGGGAGAGCAATCTAGCCTGTCTACAAGTGTCTCCTCTTCATCGGGATCTCCCTCCTTCCATAGAAAGGCATCAAAACCGTGCCGTTCTAAACATCCAGTCGTTGTTCAATACTGAACAGCCCCACAGCCCCACATAAGACTCCAAAATGAAAGGCAAGCACCTCTTGATCAGAAACCAGACCAAAGGAATCATCGAATTAACCCACCTCGTTTAAAGGTTCCAACTGCCCTTTTAGAGATCCACGAAGAAGCCAAGGGGCGTCGGGGGTGAGAGGGTTACAAAAAGAGAGACAAGACCAGTTTAGCAATATTCCAGCAACTCAGAAAAGAAAAAAGAAAAAGAAAGAAAGAAGAAAAAAAAAAAAAAAGCCCTGCATCTTTCCACTTACCATCCTGGGAAGGGAGCTGACTCCCTAACAAGGTGCTATCTGCGGGGCTGCTGGGAGCCTCCTGGCTAACCAACACCGAATAAATGGGAAACTTTAGCATTTCGATTTGATTTGCACCGTATGCTGTTATGAATCAGACCGGGTGGATAGATAGTCATTCTATCCAATGCAGCCACACTTCAGAAGAGCAAACCTTCCTATACAGAAATAGCCATGAAGCCAACCCAAAAGGACATGATTAGCTAACACGCAGGCAGACGCACAGGGGATGTGACTTGGCTTCCCCCCCACCCTCCCAGGGGCCCTACCTTATAATTCTGCTCCAATGGTGATGGTGGGGAGTTTCATATGACCACCCACAAACACAGGGAGCAGAGAAGGAAGCCATAATCTGGGCCTGGGAGGGGGTGGGGGGTGGGGCTACCTCCCTTTTCAGCCCCACCTCCCATCAGGACTTCTCACCCATTCCCAAGGCACAGACTCCCTCCCCCTCTGCCAGGGAAGAGTCGCAGTGGCTTAGGAATGAATGGGCCAAGGAAACCAGGTAGATTAGGAGTCCCGCATCCCAGCCTGGGATAAATCCCCGGGATGAACTCAAACTCAGAATTTGGAATCAAGACGAAGAAAGTTATCTATCCTCTTTTTCAATTCTCTCGCTCTCAAGGAGGAGGTCTCAGTTTGGTACCATTGCATGTTAACATGTTTCTAACACTTGTACAACTCCCGCCCCCCCCCCCCGCCCCCATCCCCTCTTCCTTTTTAAACAGAGAACAGACCTCAGCTCAGAGCCTTGGACATAACTAACTGTATGGCATTACTATCATTGTGTTTATTTTTCCAGTTGCCTTGTTTATATCAAGTGATCCTTGTTTTCTATTATGGTAGTGACAAAGTTTCCTTTTCATATGATTTTAAGTTAAAAAAAGAAAGTGAGTCCGTTTATAGGAAAAAGTATTAAGTAAATATAGTACAAGTGGTACACAGCTCATGAAAAATTCAAAATCCTTGAAGTGATAAGGGAATGGCTGCAGCTTGGGAAAGAAAGTCTCGGGCACTAATCACAGACTCTTCCAAAAGCAAAACTCGAACCACACACAGAGCAAGACCTGAAGATGCTTGGGGGTCACGCAGAGCTGAGCGGGTAAGTGTTAGTGCTGGCTTCACCACCAGCCAATCATGTGACTTGGGTAAGTCAGGGGGCCACTCTGAACTTCAGTCACCTCTTTTCTTAAGTGGAAGGGCTAAACTAGGACTCTGACTATAGAAATGCTTGTGTGTGCTGCCCAGCTGCAAAATATCTGCACTCTTTCTGTGGCTTTATGAGAACAAGGTGGTTTGTCAAGACCAGTTGGAACCTATTAGGCATCAGAGACTGTCCTGGCAGCTGCAACAGTGAAAAAGTAGCAAAAAGCTATGCCCTCGTGCACTTACATGAGGAAGTGCTTGAAAATGCTTACAATAAAGTGCAAGGATAAAGGGCTGCTTTTTCCTTGGACAACAGTCCATGCCCATTCTTTCCATAGAGGGAAAGCATTTCCTAGGTGTGTGGTGATCAAAAAACACTGTTTATAAAACCACATGAGTAGAGACAAAGGCCACCGTAGGGCCCAATCCTTTCTCAAACCCCAGGTATAAGATGAATGTCCGGGAGCAAAGAGAAACCAAGGAAGAGAAAGAGGGGAGGGAAGATGTTTTTATGTTCCCAGCATGCTAAGTCTTTCTTCACATGGAGTCCACTGGGTTCATGTATTTGACCGGAGAGAGGATCACCGGTTCAAGCCAGAAAGAAATAGGAAGAAGGAGAATCCAGATATTCTAGAACAGGTGTTGGCAAGCTATGACTTGCAAGGCTAAATCCAGCCCACAACCTGCTTTTGTATGGTCCTCCAGTTAAGGATGGTTTGTACATTTTTAAATGGTTGGGGAAACACCAAAAGAAAATGAGTATTTCTTGACTAGCACACAGTATATGAAATTGAAATTTCAGTGTCCACAAATAGTTTTATTGGAACACAGCCACGCCCATGCATTTACTATGGTCTATAGTCGTTCGATGCCATAGTCAGAGTTGAATATTTATGACACAGACCATGTAGCGCTCCAAGAAAAAAAATGTACTATCTGGACATTTATAGAAAAAGTTTCATACCTTGTTCTAGAAGGAAAGTCAGTTTCACCAAGCCAGTCTCATTTTAGCTGCTTACCAAATCCCCCACTGATCCCCACCATCTCCCTTTTCGATCCCACCACGACCCCTAAGCAGCTGTGTGACCTTGGGCAAGTCACTAATCTCTGTCCTGAAGGTGGTTATTAAAACCCACAGAAGCATGGTCTAATATTGTGTATTTCTCACTGGATTGTGCATTCTGAGGGGCAGAGCCTATGCTGTTTTCACAACTGTATCCCCAGAGCTCACATAGGTGGTCACTCAAGTGTTTGTTGAGTGACTATTGAATAGCCCCACGACATTCAGCCTGCAGTAAGTGTATAGAAAATATGACCTTCACTGAACTTGAAAAGAGGATCTAGAGATTCCATAGAAGCCAGTGGTGCAAATCTAAGCCACCAGAGGGATGGGGAGAACAAGACGGGTGACAGAGCACAGAGTTCCTGCCAGGCTGAAAAGTCTGAGGACAAGATGTGAGCCAGTGGGGAACCAGAAAACCAGCAGCCCCCTCGGCTGTAGCTGAGGGTGAGAGAAGTGAGCCCAGATGCACCCTAGATGTGGGAACCTGTAGGCTTTTCTGCCGGGCAGAGAGGAGCCAACCCCAGAAAGCAAGCAGCTCAACGGGTCTGACTGCAGGTCTGACTGCATGACCTTGGCGCTGACCTGTCGCCACTTCCCTGCCTTGTACTGAAGGGAAAGGTCTCGTAATCAAGCAGCCTCCCCCCAAAAAGGATGCCTGGAAATTATTTCAGTCCAAGGATTCTTGTGAGAGTTTCCTCAAGGTGATGGGGGTCCACAACTCCCAGACCCCAATGCACTGGCCGAAAATGATCGGTTGCTCCCGCCCCCACCAACAGCGCGCCTGTAGTATGTCCCCCACCCCTCAGCACCCAGTGCCCGGGAGAGACGACGTCCTTGTCCCTCCTGGCCGGAACAGCTGCCTCAGGCTCGCTCCGCCGGCCAATTAGCCAGAGCCGTCGCCACGGCAACGGCAGCTGGCGGGCCGGGCGGCTGGCGCGTCCCGGGCCGCCCTCCCCGCGGCCCCTCCCCTGGGGTGGGGTGCAAGGGGAGGGGATGGGGGCAGAAAAGTCCGCCCCACCCCCACTCCCTCCCCAGGAGGCCAGGGCGCGCGGGCAGAGTCCGCAGGGGCCCTTCATCCCCGGGTGTGGGGGTCCCCAGCCCCCTATCCTGGGTCGCACCCGTGCCGCTGCACAGGCTGCGTGCCCTCGGGCACCCTTTCTCTCGAAGCAAGTTTGTGGGAGCCCAGCCGTGTGCCCTCCCTTCCGCGCGCTCACGGCCGGAGGGGGCGCGGCACCCCCCACCCGCACCGCGGACCTTGCCCCCCAGCCTCAGCCCTACCTGGATGTACGCCATTTTCGCCCTCGCGCACTCACTCCGGCCCGGGCATGGCGCCGCCACGGCCACTTTGCCCTCGCCAACAGGGGAGGGGGGGGAAAGGAAGAAAAAGGCAGCCGGGTGGCCCCAGACGTGACTGGCGTGGCTGATGAGCGGCGCCCGCCCCTCCGCCGGCCGCCCCGTCCTTGCCTTTCCCTGCGTTCCGGCTCCCGGAGTCGGGGCCGCCTCCCAGGTTGGGAGCTGGGGCGCCCAGAGCCCCCGCCTCGGCCACTCTCGCTGTCCTGCGCTCCCCCCGAGGCGCTGCCCTGGCTGGAAGGAGGCCGGGGCGCCTGGGGACGGAGCCCGGGGCGGCCGCGGGGACTGCAGCGACCCCGGCGCAGGCGGGGCTGGAGACGCCGGGGCCCGGGCGCGCCAGAGGCGGGGGAGGGGATGGGGAAAGGGCTGGGAGGGGGCGGTGCGCGGGTCGGCCCATCCGGTCGGCACCGGGGCTGGCACCTACCGAGAGCAGAGCCCCCGGGACGGTCTTGAAACCGAGGGGGTACCGTCCTGCCCGCCTGGAGTCTGGGGCGGGGAGGGTCCTCCCCCTCCAGCCCTCTCCCAGTCCGGGTTGGAAAAACTTTATTCCCGCCCCACCCGTCGCGCCTAGAACTGTTGCGGCGAGGAACGCAGAGGTCAAATGAATGGGAGCTTTAAGTTCAGGTGGGGGCCTAGGGCGCCGCGAGGCGGGAACGTGCTGTGGCCGGGGCCGCAGGGGCGCGCGGAGAGAGCGGAGCGCCCCTTCACCTTACCCCTGCCCGAGTTGCGCCCTGGGCTCAACAGGTCTGGAGCGGGGCGGCCCAGCAGCGCCACCCAGCGTCGCGCCCGCGCCGTGCGCGCCTCTGCCCGCTCAAAGCTCCGTGCCCGCGAGCGAGCGCCCCCGGGCGTGCCCACCCTGTCCCGCCCGCCCGCGTGGCTGGGGCGCCCTGGGCCTGGAGTCCTCCCCCCAAACCGGTCTCCCACCCCCAAGGCCACAGAACTGGGGCCCACTCTGCTACTGAGGGATTCGAAGTGGAACATTGCCCTCCGCTGGTTCTCTTTTTAAAATGCCCAGCCGTCTCCCGTTGTCAGTCGCCAGTTTATCAGCCTTTTAACTCCCAGCGCCTCCGTCTGTCTTTTTCATCACTAAAAATGGCATAAAATCTCTGTCCTGCCTCTTCTCCAGGGCTGTTTTGTGGGGATACGTGAAGAAATGCACGTGGAAGTAATAAGCACAAGGCGTAATGGGCGTCTGTGTACATCTTTTGCGTGAAAATCGAACCGGTGCACATTTTTTTGTACGTCCGTCAGATTTCATTCGTAGCACGTGGCGTACAATACGTGCTGAGCCCTTATCATCCGGTAGGCACTGTGCTCAACACTTCGCAAGCATGATTTCATTTCCTTGTCCTCTGCCTTCCTCACTCTATGTCGAACACAGCGCCTGACCAGAGTGGGCACTCAATAAATGTTTCCATTGTTGCTGTTGACTCCTAACTATTTTGGGGAAGGCGCTGCAGTCGTCCCCAATTCACAAATGAGACGGAGGTGCAGTGAGGTAGACTCCCACCCCCACCCCCACTGGCGTTTGAATCCACACAGGGTGCCCTCCTAACCACTTAACAGTATTCATACTGTTTCTTCAGCACTGATGGAAAGGGTGCTTGGCGGGGGGAGGGCTTCACCGAGAAGGGGTGCCTACTGGGATGGGCGCTTTTGGGGGGAACTTGAGAGAGGTGGAAGAGTTTGCCAGGTGTTTCCAGGAAGAAGAGCTAACCATTTTGAGACTGTGTGCCAGGCTCTGCCTTAAGCCTTTTACACAAATTCAACTTTCAATTCCCTGGTAACCACGAGGTGGGCACTATTACTATCCCAGTCTCTAGATGAGAAAAGAGGAGGCATAAAGCCGGGAAGTAACTTGCCCAGGGGTGTATATGTCATTGAGAAGCTGGGATTCAAACCTAGACAGCCTACACCAAATGCTTCCCCTAGCCACCGCACCACACTGCCTCGCAGTACTGGGTATTGGGGGAAGAGGGAGGAAATCCTTAGGATTAGTTTGATACCTTAATCCCTAAGGACTTAAAACTGTCTGGGAAAACCAAGCACCCCTCCTCCTGTGAATGAGGTTATTTTATTTATTTATTTTTTAAGATTTTATTTATTTATTTGACAGAGAGAGACACAGCGAGAGCAGGAACACAAGCAGGGGGAGAGGGAGAGGGAGAAGCAGGCTTCCCGCGGAACAGGGAGCCCGATGTGGGGCTTGATCCCAGGACCCTGGGATCATGACCTGAGCGGAAGGCAGACACTTAACGACTGAGCCACCCAGGCGCCCCGAATGAGGTTATTTTAAATGGGCACAAGAGAACCTACCTCTGGGGTTATCAAATTCATCTCCGTATGTAAAGCACATGCACACAATAGGTGCTTAATAAATGCTTGTTGAATGCATAACTGGACAGTAACAATAGCTAATATGGATGCTGCCAACTCTTTTGAGTCATTATCATGGTTGAGAGCTGAGCACTTCACATGTATTCCTTTGTTATCCTCACCAGAGCCCTACAAGGTGGGTACTATCATCGTCCTATTTTCCTGATGAGAAAGCTGAAGCTCTGAGAAAGAAAGTGAATCACCCTAGGTAAACAAGTGAAGAGTGACAGGGACAGGACAAAAATGCTAACGTGATTAACTCTGAAAGCCCAGCTCCTGAGAGCTGCGCCATCCTGCCTCCAAAGAAAGAATGAATGAGAAGTCAGTTCTAAGTCATTTCTCAGATGTCACTCCAAGACTGGCTTTCAGTGTCCCCAGCTCTGTGAGTCTCTCCCTGTTCTTCACAGGGACCTGTAGTCCAGCTGTGAGGTGTAATGTGGACTCAGAGCAAGGCTGTGCCTGTTTGCACAAAGCAACTGGTACTCACCAGGTCTCGGGAGAAGCCCCTACTTCAGAATTCTGTGCGGTTCCTGAACTTAGGGAGGAAAAGAGTTACATCTCCATTGTCACTAACCTCTACATGAAATTCAGTATCTTCTTTCACTATGGATGCAGGCAACAAACCACAACAGTATTAGCATTTACCTGGGTTTGTCACCAATAGAAAGAGAAATAGAGTAGAATAGAAATAGAAGTCAATCGAAATCAGGTACATTCACATCACATTACAGTTGAGGCAAATAACTTAAAATTTTATTTATACTCTTTACTTCTTGAAAAATCACAACTACTAGATCTATTTAATGCATTAATGAAGAAGCCCTTACATCACCATATTTAAATTGGTTTTAATATTTTGATAAGTGTATCGCATAGAGTTATCATTTCATTATAATCCTATGTATTCTACTCTATGATTTAAAGACATTATTCTGAGATGGGGTCTATAGGCTTCAGCAGACTGGTGGGGGGATCCATGGCACAGAAAGGGTTAGGAACCCCTGCAAGTAACGTGTGCATTAGCTCAGGGGTAAGAGTGGGAACTGCCAAGTAATTCTCTGGCTGGAGTGAGGGGAGGATGGCGCCAGGTGAGGTTCAATATGTAGGAGAGGCCAGATGCCCTGCAGCCTGGTAAGTTACTCCATAGAAGAGCAGGAAGGGTCAGGCCCAGAAGGATTTTGGCAGGGGTGTGTGTGTGTGTGTGTCTGTCTGTCTGTCTGTCTGTGACAGGGAGACAAGCCTGGAGGGAGGGAGGAGGTTGCAGCAGTCCAGGTATGAGGTGATTTGAGCCTGAACTGTGGTCATAGCAGTGAATCAGTGGCTATAACTGAATGAGCAATGATAAGGTGGTGAAAGGCAGGGGAGGCTGGAGGAAGGCAGGTTTGCTGGGGGTAAGAGTTGGGGTTTTATATCTGGATATGTTGACTCTCAGATACGTATTATGCAGGGTTCCTGGAAGAAACTCCACTCCATCCAGCTTGAGGGAGAAAAGAACTGACTGGGAAGTCCAGGGGCCAATCCTACAGTCAGGCCCGGATTTAGAGATGCAAAAGAAGTCAGTCACAATGCCTTGCTCTCTCCATATCTCACCTCTTCACGGCTTTTCTCTGAACATTTGGAATTTTTTTCTCCTGGAGTAGGTTTAGCTGCACGTGGCAGAAACATGGCCAGTAGTGGACTTGAGTTTCTGGTTTATTAGTTTATTTTCCAAAAGTAAGACTTTTTATGAAATTTTAAGGAAAAAAACTCGAATTGGTCCTGCTTGGGTTAAGTGCCTACCTCTGGACCAAGCACTGTGTCCAGAGGAGCTAGCACCCTGCTTGAGTCCACCCAGACCAGGTGAGCAGATCACATGAGCCACCATCCCACGAAGACCACACAGAGAGGGGAAGCATGGGGTTCTCTAGGAAAGACATTCTGGGAGACAAAACAACATGCCCACAATGGGGTGGCTATGGAACATGGGGTGGGGAGGTGGAGATGTCCAATGGGCAGATGAGTTGGTTCCGGAGTTCAGACCCCTCTGAGGCAGAACGGTGCTCAGAGTTGATCAGGAGATAAGGCTTCAGTCATCTCCTGGGGGCAATTACAGGCTCACCTCAGTCCACAGCTTTTAAAAGGAACCTGGCCCCTCAACTTCTCCCCTCCAACCCCAGAGGGCAGACACATAATAATGGTTTTCTCTTCAGGATCCTTAAGAGGGTAGTTAGGAGTGGCAGGGCAAACCACGGACCTCAGGATATCTATTATAATTCAGAAGTGCCAGAACAGCAAAAAGCAATCACCATATGGGCAACACGCATTCTGGTTAGGTGACTTTCTATTTCTGCCAAACAGACTGACGGCACTTGTCTCCTAAGTCAGTTTTAATTATATAGCTTCCCAAACATGCCATTCCGATCCTGTTTTAGCTGTGCCCATAACCCTGGGCAGTGTTTCTGAACTCTGGGGAAGTGGGAAGGCTCTGGGCTAATTAAATAGCTGGTCTGGCTCGAAGCAGAGCAGACACCTGTTAAGTATGATCCCCAGGGCGGACAAGACCAAGTAACCCCACATAGGACCCCGACCCCCTTCTTCATCTTCACCAATGGCAATGTGGCTTGAGGATAGCAAGAGATCTAGATTCCAGTCCAGCCTGGCCTACCTAAATAGCTGTGTGGCCTCAGGCAGGCTGCTTCGTCCCCAGGAGCCTCAGTTTTCCTCACCAGCAGAGTGGGTATAATGCTTCCCTCTGAGGGCTGGTGTGAAGTCCAGCACATGAGAAAATGTGAAACACTCATGTATGTTCACAATTAGTGGTTCTCTGTTTCTTTCTCCCATAACATTGAATCTGAGGCCATGGTGCCTCTTCTCCCAGGAGATGGCTGATGCAGGTGGTCCAACGTGTGACCTTGACTTTGGCATGCTAGGACATCATCTCTGTGATGTTTACACACTTCCTTCCTAGGAGGCTCATCACCACGGGGGCCAATCCATTGGCTGGAATGAGTCAGGGTGGGAGATG